TCAAGATTAAAAATTTCAGGAAGCCAATTTTCTATAGAGAGGTGCGTAAGGCTAATACCTTGGTCTTTTCCTGGTTAGTTTTAGTATTAGACACCTCTGGTCACACACTGCAAACCCTACAGATGCGATATTACATGATGTGCAGAGAAGCTAAACTGAAACTACTTCTTATATGTGACTCCGATTTGATAAAGACCTGAGAAAAAGAAACAGGCTCTGCATAAATAACGTTCATTATGAACCTCTCTGTTGATTAGTCATATGTCCTAACTGCACATAGTTCAGCCAGACTTCGATGCCCCAAATATAAACATGTTAGCATTACATTTTGAAGGAGAATTTAGCTGGGATATATCTCCAAGGATATGTTCTATAAATTCATCTTTGATGTGTGCATTCCATTGATGAAATGCTACATCTTTTACCTAGAACAACTACTTACTAAAGCTATAAACTTGACCTATTTCTTAGAAATAAACATCTCTATCCATAGAGAAAATTTTGGTGCTTATTATGATCCTCCCTTGGAATTATCATCATGAAATCACCATTATGTTTTGACATGTAACACTCTCCGAGTAATGTGCATTTTTTTCTTTTCTTGCGACATTTTCTTCTCACACTCTGAATGAAAAGAGACAAGTGGACCGCCTCGACTTCATTTTCTCTGCCCAATTATTAGCAAAACATGCTATCACCCACTCCCTTTTAGTGTTTTAAAAGCAATAAACTCATTACAAACATCAAATGTAAAACAAGGAAGCATGTTATAAACATTACTTTTCATGTTCAAACCATCTTACATCAACTAACTTCTTTTCTCTACCTTAATGGGAGGTAGGTGGTAAGTATTCACCTCCCTTTATGGCTAAGGGAACTGAGGTAACATTTAGATGTCAATGAAGAACCCATTCCAATGAAAGCTTTGCTTGGTATTTGGGAGAAACTTGTTTGTACTTTTGTGCATGTGGTAATTTAATTCTCTTTCCAATTTATGACACATGTTAAAGTGTACACTTAATAAGGAGTTGTCATTTCAAACATTCCAGCAACATAGTCTGGATTGTTTATCACAATACACTTATTGCATTGTTCCATTGGGGTAATTTTCTGTCTTCATAGAAAGGTCATAGATGGTACAAGGTCATATATGTATAAAAATAATGTACATTGCTCTTTTGAACCTGATATTAAAAGAACAAGAAAGTTTTAAAAACATGTTCGGGGGACTCCTTATATAATTCTGTATTATCTATCCCAAATGTAATTATGATATAATTACATTCTTATTTCATAAGAACTTTGATAAAACTCCATTTGGGAATTATTGATTTTCTTTTGGTGGAAATGTAAGACTTTTAAATTTTGACGGATGTGCCTGTGTTGACCACATCATGATTAACCAGTTGTAAACACAACATGGAAAGCATCTGATTGCCCATCTAGACACCAGTTCTTCTCCCTACAACTGCCACTAGGTATTTAGATAGCTCATTTTTTAAAAATGAAAATGAATGAATATAGTCTTTCTCTTTTTTTCCTGGACAGTTGCTGACTCTGGATTCCCCTGTGGCATTTTTGGCTCTAAAAACGATTTGTAAATGATTCTCCTTTTGCAAAGGCAAAGCAGAAATGAATTACCCATAAACCAAATAATCACATTGGCATCAACCACAGAATTACAGTGTTCTCTGGGGCACAATACATCTCTTTTTTCACCCCCACTGCCATTATGAACACCTATTATACATGCATGCAGAATGATAAAGAATCATGGACCCATGACAGAATTTTCAGCTTCACCCAACACTAAAATAGTGGCCACTACCAGCAGTCATTCTTGCATATGAAATACACACATACACAGCAAATTTGGGGGGAGCAGGTTGCTGCTTTTATAAGCTGCATGATATGTTTGAGTGCAGCTCTTTATATTGATCATTTCTCTTCCGAGTTCTACTGACAGATTAATTACTTTGCCAGCCTTTTAAATCTAAATCCTTTAAAAAAAAACAAAAACCAACACTTGTCTGCCCATGTGACTATTCACTTAGTAGTCACAGAGACTTCAGGCTGCAAACATGTGCTGAATGTGCCCCTTCACCCAAATGGATTCTGTGTCTGATGTGTTTGATATTCGTCCATCTTACTTTCATTTAAATTGAAATCTTCAAAAAGGTGTTCCCATCCATGTGGTAGAGTTGTTTGTGTTTGTTTGTCACTACCTTTTTCCCTCCCCCTGGGAAAAAAAATTGAGATTAGAATATGACATCTCAAACTTTTTGGTGGTTTCCAAACCAATGTTTTGCTGAATGATAACTATGACACCGTGATTGAAAACAGAATCTCAATTTTGGCAGCTCGGGGCTACAAAGGCCTTGTCCTTCCTCCCAAACCTTTGAAAACTCCCATCTCAGGGGCTCTTTCCCAACCTTCCTTCAAAGATAATGGTATCTTTGAAGTGACTGTTTCGTGTAAGTGACTTAGGCTAACACCCACCAGAGGACGATCTTCCGTACTGTCTCCAGGCACACTAACACTGTTGGTGCTTGGCAGGGTGGCAAGTGTGCAGAGCGAACCTGGCCAACAGAACCTCCTCATTCAGCAGCCGCTGGGGAGGAAGAGGGGCCTGAGGCAGGTAAGCAGACCTGAGAAGGGCAGGAGAGTCACCCCATGAAATAGATTGAAGCCCTATTGAATTTTGAATGTCCGTATATATTGAGATTATATTTTGCCTACTTCCCACCCAAAACAAGCGGTACAGAGCACATGTAAAACATGGTAAGTGCTTGAGCCTTCTGAGAGCTTTGAGCTCCTATGTTAGCTCCTATGAACGGAGCTGATGACTTAGTGAAGTGAGTAGGCCTATACTTCTATCTGTTCCCTCTCCAGAAGCTTTCTTCCCCAGCCAAATTCATGACCCAGGACGATTTGTTTTAAAGTTGATGTTTGTGTAAAGGCATAGACACAGTTGTCCTCTCTTCCTCATTTCAAAGTTAATGATTCAAGTTAAAATTGAAACCAAAGTAAAGATTATCTTTATGAATTTCCTTAGGTGGGTTTCCTTTATGTAACTCTCTAAGTAAAAATTGAAGTGAGCCTTCGCTCTCTTATTGTGATGGGAGCATCCCAGCACTGATTTGGACACCAGACACTTCTCAATATCTGAGGTTTTTTTCATCAACCCCCCAACTCCCTTGAGAGGTCACATAGGTTCAACTGCAACTTTTAGGTGAACAAAAGCCGATCTGTAAGCAATAATCGTTAGTTTTGTATCCTAAAATTCATTGAAATTCTCACATTGGCTACTTTAAATGATGTTAATGTTCTTAGCCTATGTGAAGGTGTAATAATCAGGAGATAGGATTGGTTAAAGGGGATGTCAGAATCAAATACTTGTAGTCAGACATGCAGAGAGAAGTTTACCAGCTACAAACGAAAAGAACAATCATAAGAGTCCACAGAAACCCGTAAAGTAGGGAGTAAACCATAGAATCCTCAGAGCATAGCGTTTTCTCCTGGGCAGTCAGCCTCATTCTGCCTATTCTCTTTAGCTAAGACGTCCTCTACTGTCACGTCAGAAGACTCAGAATGAATCCAGAAACCGCCATGGAGCTCGGCTGTCAACCACTCGGAGGAGCATTCAACCTAAAACGAAGCCATCTGGTGAGGTTCCTGTGTCCCTTCTGATTATACCATTGACACGATGCCATGCAACTCAGCCTGGGAGACCTGCAGAAACTTATGCAGATAAGCCCCCTTTTGGGAAGACACTAGGATCAGGGAAGAAGTTTCCCAGAAAACTTTAGTGCCTTTTTTTCTTCTCACCGTTCCCAACCCCCATCCTTACCTTCAAGAATCTAGACAGTCCTAACCGGTTTGGCTCAGTGGATAGCACGGACTGAAGGGTCCCAGGTTTGATTCCAGTCAAAGTCATGTACCTTTGTTGCGGGCACATCCCCAGTAGGGGGTGTGCAGGAGGCAGCTGATCGATGTCTCTCTCTCATCGATGTTTCTAACTCTATCCCTCTCCCTTCCTCTCTGTAAAAAATCAATAAAATATATTTTTTTAAAAAAAGAATCTAGAGAAATGGCAAAGTCCAAGGTAAACTATAAATGCCATTAGATTTAACGATAGAAGGTTGTGTTTTCTTTACCCAAGCCAGGGACTGAGTTTGTTATACGTCTTACTGAAGACAAAGACATGGTAGATAATGGGGACTTTAAAATCCTGTTGGCAGTTATTATGAGGACCAAGTTCACCTAATGCCCTATGCAAATCTTGTTCTTGGGCCATTTATGTAAAAATGATTTTTCTACCCAAATCCTACTTTTTATAAGAAGATGAAATCAAAATATATACATAATAGTGAAGTATGCTTTCACTTATTAATAAACTAACAACATCTTTATTAAGAAAAGCCAGGAGATACCAATTATAAAGCAATGACTACATATTTCCCCTCTATTTACTGCTTTACCTCTCACTTGCAGTGGATCAGAAACGATCTGTGACCTTCATTGAGGCTCAGCCGGCTCAGACAGAGCTAGCAGGTGCCCCAACAGACACACTTCCTGCCACAGTCCAGCCACAAGGCTGCAGCCCAGCCCCATCTGGGAAGCCAGAAGGAATGGACAAACCCGTCCTCACATCTTCCCCGGCCATTGTTGTTGCTGATCTTCATAGACTGTCTCCCAAGCAGGTGAGGGTCCTAGAGAAACAGGCAAGGCTTGCTCCCTGCATACTTATGTCTAGGAACCACTTGGATATGCACACTTATTGCATAACATTTAAATCTAGACCTGTAATGTTTTGTTAGCCAGACAGATGATGGTCCTATCATCATGAAAAAGAAGACCATATAAAGTATATGGCCAGGAATACATTTACTTAAGAAGCAATAGGAGAAGTCTTGGTATTCTTTATTATGAGAAACCTCAGAGAAAATATTGCACAGTTAAAATATCCATTGAAACCCATATATGATTCATAGTTTAAAGATAGTTCTGTTTTTAAAAAGTTACCAATTTAGATGCAGCCTTTAAATAGAGAGCCTTCTGCATCCTGTAAGATGAGAGGAACTTCTTGTTTTGATCTTTCCCCTCATTGTTATGATATTTTTTCTTCTTTTGATTTTTATAAATGAATTCCCACAGGTCCAACTTCCTCCTCATGTACTTGAAGAAAGCAAAGGGGCAATATTACTATATACATTTGTGTAGTCTTTAATGGTTACAAAGTATTGTAACAGCATGAGCTCATGTATCCTCACAGTGTACGAGGTTAGCAGAGCAAAAATTATGCTCATGCAACAGGTTAGAAAACTGAGGCTTAGAAAGTTGGAGGGCCTCCAGAAAAGCTCACATCTAACAAAGGCTAGAAATGAGACTAGCCTTGACAATCCTGTCCAGTTAAAGCTGGACAACATTTTTTGTACTCTTCCCTGGCACCCACTCTACTTTCCCCTGACATTATGGTCTGTTTGATCATAGAGTGAGACCCTCCCTGCTGAAGAAGGAGAAAAGAAGGAGGACCCAGAAGTACAAGGTGCTGCAGCACACAGCCCCCTCTCTACTCAAATCTCAGACCCTGATGACTTCACAGGCCTTGAGACGTCCGTCCTCCTGCAGCACGGAGACACTGTCCTTCACATCAGCGAAGAAAACGGCATGGAGAACCCCCTGCTGTCCAGCCAGTTCACTTTCACTCCCACGGAGCTGGGGGAGGCTGGTGTAGACCTGGATGAGTCGCATGTTTAGTTCTGTATCTTGTCCGAGTTGCAGGTGTAGACAAGACGAGGGAGGGATCACTTAGCTAAAAGTTGAATACTTTTGCTTGGAAAAAAAAAAAAAAAAGATGAAAACACAGCACTTTATATCCAATAGGGGACACAAATCTCAGTAGATTTTGCTGCCAGTGCACATATTGTTTCATAAACATCTTTTAAAAAACAATGGCTAAGATTAGTTAATTGTATGAAGACCATAAAGACCAGGGAGTAATAAGGGGAAAGAGCCGTTTGCACATTGTTTGTGATTCAAGAAGGCTTGAGCAGTTAAAAACATACTATTACAGAGCTGCTTAGCTAGAAGTATTAACAAATAATATATTCTAAAAGAGAATGCATTTGAGGTTATTCACATTATACATCTCATGCAAATGTTTATTTTTATACTTTCAAAAATATTAAACCAGGTGGTTGTACAAGTAGCAATTTACATAAAAATAACAAATAATGAAAATATTAGTTTGGGGGAAACTAAATAATAAATAAGTCCACAGACATTTTTGTTTTGATCAACAATGCAGCCATGTAGAAGAAGGAAAACATATTATTTTTAGAGCTGTGGACTGTTCAATATTTGCTTTTCAACCGTCATTTTTATTGCATGTTGTAAATCAGAATACTAATGCCATAAGGTCATTCCATTCATAATCAATCACTTTAGAGAGAATACTCTAGAAATTATCAAATGTAATTCTGAATTAAGAAGAACCTAAACAACCCATACTATAATAAAAATGAAATATAACTATAATAGTTAGGAAAAGATGGTATTCCTACTTCTAGCCCTAACTACATCTTGCCAATATTAGGATATACTGAAAAATGTGATTCGTATCCTTATAGTAGTGCCTACCCTCGGGGACATATTTTCAGATATTAAAGTTATTGTTAGAATAGGTTCACTAAAATAGCTTCCCAATGTTAACAATATTCTTATCATCCTTTAGACATTTGAGTTTATGAGGAAAAAAATATAAATTGAGCAATCGCTTCATGGACAAAGTCAGCTTATGAATTTATTTTAACTTGAAGTTCACTTACTCAAGCAAAGTATAAAACTTAAAAGGCTTGTGAGGCCATATCTAGTATGTTATTGATGCTATAGTAGGGCTAGGTATAATACAGTTCAAAATTGAATTTCAGAAATGTAACAGTTTACATTAGAAAACTGTTACAGAACTACTAATTATCTAAAAATGCATATATTTACCTAAATTGGTATGGTGGTGTGTGTGTGTGAGGGTGGGTGTGTTTTCTAGCCCTCCAGTTGAAGTTAAATACAGATATTTATTATTGCAATGAATTCATAACACATTCTATATGCTTAAACTTTGACTATGTTGACCATGAAAAGTATATGTATTTATAGAGGAGACCTATTAAACCCACCCAAATCACAAAGGAAAATTATTTTTCTGTTAGAATCCTTTATTAAATAGGCATTGTTTACACTGTGGTTTGTACTTCCAAATATAATTTGGGGTTTTGGTCCAATTTACTATGAGAATGAAAGGTATCTGTGAGTTAAAGACAATAATGGACAAAACTAAAAATTTCCAATCTAAAGCTTCAGAAAATAGAGCTTCAGAAAGCAGAGGCTTCTTTTATGTTTTAAAATATTTTCAGAATATAGACACTTAACACTGAATTATGCAGAAATATAATATAAGTGGATTTATAACTCTTTCTAAGCTGATGTATTTTGCCTGTTAAAAATTATGCTGCTCTATTAGTGTTAGAGGCCTTATGTCTGGTAATTACATGTGTCTGAGCTATATGAGTCTCTATATATGTCTGTGTTTTGTTCCAGTTACTTGATTCTTGATTCAAATTCTCTATGTGTAATTGTATAACATATTTAAAAAGTAAAGGGGTCACAGAAGATGGTTAAATATCTGCTAAGAATACCTTTATATGTAAAAAGTATTGAACATATTTATGCTTACCCGTCTGCCTTTTAGCCTGACTCCTTCACTCTAGGGTTATAGATGGCTGTTGGAAACTTTTCCAATAAGCTAAGTATTGTTGTATCTTGCAAAAAAAGCCACCACTCTGAGAAGCAGGGCCTTGGAGGGTGGGAATGTTTTCATACTGGGATTACTGAGATTTTGCAGATGTATGTATGCATCTGTTCCATTTAAGGTGCCCTTAAATGTGTTGAATGTAATTTATTGAATGTTCATGTGCAATTGATAAAGTATCTAAATGTATGTGCATAAGATTGTCACAAGATGTATTCTCAGGAATACTGTTACCTGGAGTTTGAAGGAATATTTATTTAAAAAAAATAGTAGTGGGAGATTAGAGAAACGTTTAAGATAGTTAACAAATTTTTGCAATGTTCAAATTATTGAGTATATGACTAAAAATAATTATATATGATAAATACAGTATTGGTAATACTATATCATTTCTTAAGCTATGATGCTTAATGATATTCATTTTGTCCAGAGGAAAATTAAAACAGGCACTTACATCCCATGTGTAAAAAATTGGACTCAATTGAGAGGTTGCTTTTTCAAAAATTAACTTTTGAGAGAAATTGGAATAAACATGTATCATCCATAATAGTGGGTATAGATTTATAGTACTCAGTTTCAATTAAAGCAGTTCCATCCTGGGTGCAGCATTTTCTATAGAAAAACATTTTACTCTCATTTTTCCAGTATTTGCTGCTTTCTATAATTCTATTAGGTGTGTTATTTGATTTTTTCCAATAGAAGGAATCTGAATTGTTGAGTACATTGGGACAGTGCACTGGGAACTAGTGTCAAAAAGCATAATTGGGAATAGCAGTGCTGGGAAAACAATCTCTGGTATTTGGGGATCTGGATAGAGCTTGTTGAATAGGCTGAAAGAAACTGGTTTGCTATTTCAGGCCTCCAAGAGTACCTAAGGCAGTGTGACAGCTCCCTTCTTTAGTAGCTGTCCTTTTAGTCAATGAAGAATATTCTCCACTCAGCTGTCCAACTCCAACAGTATCTGAGATGAGAATAGGGTGTGTATAGGGACCTACAGGAAAGAAAGGGTCAGAAATAGAATTATAGTCTAAAACACAAATAACCTTCCTCAAGCCTGGAATTTGCCACTGTCACACCAAGCCATGCGGCTGCCATGTGACTGCACACTGCCCATGCCATGGCTTGTCCTTGGCAGTGAGTAGGAAGTCCACTTCCTCATTTACTTTAGTGGACCTCACCTGCAGCAATTCAGAAACAGAGTTTGGTTTGACACTCAGGACAATAAAGACAAGTTAAAATGTATTTGGAAAAGCTTAAGGCAAATTTATTTATATTGTTTTAGGATCATTTAGCATTACAGATCAATGTACCTCCATAATATATTTCAATAGTCACTGTGACTGAAGGATAAAAATCCTTTATTAGCCATTTTCTAGGTAAAAAACAAATGATTACACAGCCAACTTCCCTCAGATGACTTAAGAAGTCTGTTATAAATAATGGATGACCAAAGAGCATGGAAAAATGCCTATGAATTAATACTGAAATGTTTATGAAAGATATTTATGAAAGATATTAAGACTTCTGTGTTTGAATATGCACATATATAATAAAATAACTCTATAAAAACACTTAAGAGGACTGATTGTTTCATTTCTCATTTCTTAACATAGGGAATAGTTTAACTCATTCAGGAAAGTATTCCCTTTGGAGCCCTGCGGTGTGCCTTGATGTCTCTCCTAATCCCCTACTGGGCCTGAGGTCCCCCTTCAATTAGACACATCCAATTCCTCCCCAATCCCAACTGTGCTCCCTTCTACTCATATATTCTACCCTAACTTTCAAAAGTAAAGCAGAATGGGCATATTGGGAGACAGATACCCCAGCTTGACTTCTTTGCCCAGGTTATGACCTGGAATGACTGGTAGATTTCCCAGGAGGAATGTTAAGGACCTGGTTGTCCTCTGAATGTGGCCAGAACCATCATGGGGTTCAAGTTATTACCAGTCTGCCTTTTATACAGAGTACACAGTGCCCTATCCTTACCCTCCAAGGTATGTTCTTGCTAAATTCATTTTTTTCCTCACATGGTTATTTCCTGACCCAAAGACTCTAGACACATTTGGCAGAAGAATAAACACTCTTATTCCTCTTCAATTGTGTCTGAACAGTAAATAAATGGATTATAATCTGTCAATGAACATTCCTGAGAGGGAAAAACCAAGACAATAAGAGGAATGAGGACAAGAAGCAGAGAAGGAGAGTTGTAACCACCAACTTATAACCACCATTATTTTGTTCTGGGCACCAGGCATAATGTGCTGGGCACATCACCAGGATTTGCTTATTTAATCCTCACAACACTGGACACTGTCTTAACAGATGAGAAAACAATGAAGCAGGGAGAAGTGACTTTCCAGGTCATTGTGGACTCACAGAAGAAAGATTTATTTGATGTGAACCCCTAGAAGAAATTTATCTGCTGAGATGGACTCCCCATGGTCAACTGAGGGCCCAGATTTTGCATGTTATTTTTATTTTCCTGTTACAGTTCACTTTCAATATTACTTTGTGTTGGTTTCAGGTGAACAGCATAGTGGCTAGACAGTCCTGTACATACTGTACAAACTGTTCTCCCCAATATTTACAGAACCCACCTGGCACCTTACATAGTTATTGCAATATTATTGACTCTATTTCCTGTGCGATACTTTACATTTTGCAACTACCAATTTGTACTTCCTAATGCCTTCACCCAGTCCCCCAACCCCTTCCCCTCTGGCAACCACCAGTCCACTCTCTGTGTCTATGAGTCTGTTTCAATGTTGTTTGTTTATTTCTCTTGTTCTTTAGATTCCACATATAAGTGAGATCACATGGTATTTGCAATACCATGGATGGACTTAGAGAGGATATTATGCTCAGTGAATAACTCAGTCAAATAATAAGAGCCAAGTGGCCATTTGCTGACAAGGGGTTCTCATCTACTCTGTACCAGGAAGAACCACGGCGGAATTCTGAGCTTCCTGCTCATTTACTCCCAGGGAGCCAACTGTCATAAGAGGTTTCATTTTCCCACCAATGGACTAAGACCAGCCCAGCCAGAGCAGAACTGCCCCATAACGACCAATCAGGATGTATAATGCTGACCAATCAGATGTGTAGGGTTTGGGGTACCTCGTTTACATAAAATGGACCTAATTGAAAACTTGGGCAGAGACTTTACTTATATAAGGCAGCCTCCCCTTTGTCTCGGGGGAGCACAATTCAGGTTTTCTACCTGGGTCCGTGTCTCCTACAGCTGCTTTTGCTCAAATCCATGCTTTTTAATCCTTATTATAGTCTAACATTAATTTTGGGTTACCTCACCCAGCTAGTGTCTGATAGAGCTATGATCCCGCCCCAAATCTGACTCCTTCTGCTTTTAGGACCAGTTCACGGAGAGAGAAATAAGGAAGAAGTGGGTTTTGTTTTGTGTTTTTTAAGGGTAACAGGGGATGGACAGGAAAGGCACACAAATGATGGAGAAACGGATAGTAAAGCGAGGAGGAAAAGAAACTATAGGAAGGTAACGTGTTAAAAGGTGAAGAAACTCGAGTTCTCAGAGGACTAAAGCCATGGTCTTAAAAACGAAGGTCAGAGGCAGGGGCCTTGATGCGAGGCCCCGCCCCCAACCGGAAGGCGGGACTTCCTCCTCCCCGGGCCGCTGCTTCCGGCGGAGTCCGGAAGACTCCGAGGGGAAGAGGCCGTGTCAGAACGGAGCCGCCAATCGGAGCGGCGCCTTCGCCTGGCCCGGGACCTGTGAGGTAACTTGCTCTGGGGAAGCAGCACCATGGCGTCGGGCTGCAAGGTTGGGCCGTCCATCCTCAACAGCGACCTGGCCAACTTGGGCGCCGAGTGCCTCCGCATGCTGGACTCCGGCGCCGACTACCTGCACCTGGATGTAATGGACGGGTAACTCCGCGGGGCTCGGGCCCGGGTGGCCGCGCGGGCGGGAGGGGATGGGCGCGCCCGGGGGGAGAGCCTGTTGGGTGCGCGGCGTCCCGGTCCCCGGGAGGGCGCCGGGCTGGGGGCCCCCGGCCCTGCGGGGCGGGGAGCGGAGCTGAGGCGGCGTCCGGGCCTCTCCGCCCCGCTCCCGGCGCAGCGAGTGGTCGTCCGGCCCTCCGCACCCGGAAGCGACCTCCACCGCCCGGACTCCGCTTGGTGAGGGAAACTGAGGCCCGAGGGGTAGGCATGACTTGCCCAAGTTCATATCACGTGGGGGGTTGGTGGCCACGCCGGGGGCTCCACCCCCGGGCACCCGGAATGAGGGCCCGAGTGCTGCCGCCCGGGGCCCCCAGACTCGCCCTCTCACCTGGTGGAGCTGGAGTCGCTGCGTGAAAAAATGCGAGTCGGAGTCGGACCTGCCGCCTAGTCGTCATCTTCGGGAGAAGATGGAACGAGGCGGCGGCGCGGGCTCAAGTTCACGGCCCCCGGCCTGGCGTAGATTCGTGATGGTTGGTTGTATCGCGGTTCCAGTCGTGACTTTTGCTGTCTGTTTCCAGGGACCCTGCTCTCCGGGGGGCCCGTGTGTTTTTGTTGTTGGGTTTGTTGTTTTTTTAAGTCTTTTTTAGGCACGGTGATTACAGCACCTGGTACTGTTTGCAGCCAGGAAGGTGCTGGTTTCTTAATTTGAGAATAAAATGAGGGCCCAACCTGGACGAGGCGGGGAGACGCTGTCTGGGTGCAGCTCGGATGTCTCTCCTTGGGTTCGCCCCGCGGATGACCGGCCGCGCGATCCCAACCGCCCTCCCGAGGCCCGGGGTCGGGACGCATGTATTCCATGTGGGTAAAACCCCTGCGTGCCCCCATGCACGTTTGCAAGTTGTGTTATTGACGAAAGAGGATCCGTTACTTCTGTGTTTAACGTCGCTCCTCTTACAAGAGTTTTGTCTTCCTTTGCGTGGTTAAATCCGTGGCTTCTCTTTCCCTTCTACCTTCCTGGTTTGACCACCTGAGAATGGCAAAATCTTGACCTTCGAGTACCCCGGAACTCCAGGCTCAGAGTGTACGAGAATTAGTAAATATCACCTCTGACAAAAGCTTGATTTTTAGTTTGCTATCGTATGTCCTTTTTTTTTTTTTTTTTTTTGGACAGCTTTGCTCGAAAGCCCTGAACTTTCACAGGTGACATACTGAACGGCGTGTGTACCGAAGCGGTGGGTAGCTACGTTTTTGTGTCAGAGACACCCAGGGGTCTCAGGATGGAACAGGCTGCATGGGTGTGTAGGTAGCCTATCAGACACAGAGAACAGTTTGGCTTTGCATAAGTCGTGTTCACCAAAACTGGGAATATTAATGATAACAATAGCTCTTAGCTATTTCTGTCCCGGTGGCGCTTTTTGGAATTAACTCATGCCACTTTTTTAAAAATATATATATTTTATTGATTTTTTACAGAGAAGAAGGGAGAGGGATAGAGAGTTAGAAAATTCAATGAGAGAGAAACATCGATCAGCTGCCTCCTGCACACCCCCCACTGGGGATGCGCCCCGCAGCCAAGGCACATGCCCTTGACCGGAATCGAACCTGAGACCCTTCAGTCCGCAGGCCGACGCTCTGTCCACTGAGCCAAGCTGGCCAGGGCATTCATGGCACTCTTAAGAGGTGGGTGCTGTCGTCAGCACCAGCTTTTGACAGTGCAAATGCGAAGAGATCAAGTCACTCTCCCGGGTGTCCTAGCTAGGAAACGGTGGAGCCAGGATGGGGTGCAGGCAAACGCTGTGTTGTCTCAGAAATACATGTCTTCTGTGGGTTGTGGGCTTACAGAGGATGGCTAAGACATTCTCCCTCCTTACAGAGCAACTGATAATTTATACACTCCTTTTGTTCCCATTTCATCTCTCCTACACTGTAAGCTCCCTGATAACAGAATCTGTCTTTCTGGTTCAACTCTATTCGTTGCGGGTAAAGCACCATAACAAGCTTGGTTATAGTTGATCCAATAAATGAAAGGCTGTATCATAATCCCAAGATGAAGATAAAAGTATTTGTTTTTTATTGACCCTTCTTCCCCCCCTGCAAGAAACATGTTAGTATGAAAGAACTAAATTCTGCACACACTACTTAAAAACCCTTTCCCTTTTAAGCTTCACCCCCTTTTGAGCTAACAGCTACTATTCCTATTACCCTATTACAAAGGAAGAGACCAGTTTAAGCAGGTTCAGCCCCTTCCTGACTGTCCCACCGGAAGAGGTGAAGCCAGGCTGAGCTGCAGTGTCCCCTAGGCCAGGGGCATGAAAAGGTGGGGGTGGGGGTGCTGGTGGACTCCTTTCCCCACTTGGCCAACCACGGTTTCCTTCCCTCCGGGTACTGTTTCCATGCTTTTCTCTCCTGGCTCCCTTTGAAATTCTCCAACATTACACTGAGTTTGGGTGTGCTTGTTCTTTTCTCGTCCCCCCCACACTCCCACTAAGACTCCATTTCTCTTCTGATTAAACTGAATGTCTTCATCTTGAAAGTCAGAAACAAGTTCTGGAAACCTGGTGGGAGGTGGGGCACTGGTATGGTTAGGTATTTGAAATAAAGGACAAGAGGAAAAGAAAGTCAGAACACACATAAATTCATCACGATAGGATGGTAACTGGAAATGTGTTGGTCCTATGTGTGGAAACAGAGCAAATAAGCAATTTCTTTTTTTTTTTTTTTTTTTTTGTTAATCCTCATTTGAGGATCCTTTCCCATTGATCTCCTAGAGCAGTGGTTCTCAACCTTCCTAATGCCACGCCCTTTAATACAGTTCCTCATGTTGTAGTGACCCCCAATTTCATTGTTACAAATTGAACATAATTAAAGCATAGTGATTAATCACAAGACAATATGTAATTATATATGTGTTTTCCGATGGTCTTAGGTGACCCGTGTGAAAGGGTCATTTGACCCCCAAAGGGGTCGCGACCCACAGGTTGAGAACTGCTGTCTTAGAGAGAGGGAAAGACAGAAACATCAATGTGAGAGAAACACATGAATTGGTTGCCTCCTGCATGCGCCCCAATCAGGGCCCGGGCCAGGGAGGAACCTGCAACCAAGGTACATGTCCTTGACTGGATTCGAACCCGGGTCCCATTGGTCCACAGGCCGATGCTCTATCCACTGAGCAAAACCAGCTAGGTTGCAAATAAGCAATTTCTAAGTTAATTACCAGAATTTAAAATTGGGGAGGTTTCATATTAATACTAAAAATCTGACTTTTGAAAAGCATCCAGAGGTTTGCCAGCACTGGTCCAGTCTCACAAGGCCCCTATAGGCTGGAGATGAATGGCAGCCACCATTAGCCAGGCCAGGTGTTCTTTATTCGCTGTTTTGCTTCTCCATGTTACCTGCTAGTCCTTGTAAGCATATGAGTTTGTGATTCCTGGTTCACAGGAATTGTTTGCTGGTTAGTCTTTGACATTTTATATCAAAGTTATCATCTTTGCTTTTTTGAGAGTTCTGGTAAAGGTTTGATATGTCTAAAATATATTGCATGACCTTTGTAAACAAAGCTTAGGGTTGATGGAACATGATGAGCTAAAATAATTGTATCCCTGTGTTACAGTAAATAATTATAGTTTAATTTCAGTAGTTTTCTGGGGGAAAAGACTATTTTATTGAATTTTATTTTTTGCAGACTTTACTCCCAAAAGTACCCTCAAGGAAAAAAAGACTGTAATGTAATAATGAAGCAGACTTTCTTGATAAAATTTTCTTCATTAGAGTGAAATATTTTAGTGTTTTCCAAGCTGGTCTGATAAGAGCTCCCTGTGCACTTAAGAATTCAGATTTCCAGCCCCTCTTTGGTGTCAGTAGGCTTGGAATAGAGCCTATAAATCCTTTTGTTGTAACTGTTCACCTGGTTACTGTTGTCAAGCAAATTTTGGGTCACCCTGAATTCATGTTTGCGTTTGTAGCCTTTTTTTGTTATGGTTTAGCTATAAGCCTTTGGTTTCTTAGGGTATTGGTGCATTTTTGTTTTCCCAGTTTACTTGGTGAACGTGGTGCATTTAATTGATCTTCAGTAGCACAATTTGTCATATAATTTGGGGGTCAGTAGTTTTATACAGTCTGCTTCTGTTTCTCAATGAAGTAAAAGTATATTTGTTTCATTCTCATATTTTCTCAAGATGTGGTGATGCTTATTTTCATGATAAAATGAAACCTAAATTTGAGACAACAAATGTACAGGCATACCTCGGAGATATTGAGTTCCATTCCAGACCACTGTGATAAAGTGAGGATTGCAATAAAGTGAGTCCTCGTTATCTTTTTACTGGTGGGGGTCTTGCCTTCAGTTTGTGTAAAAACACCACCAACAAAAAACACACCTCTGAGGTGCAATAAAACAAGGTACGCCTGTATTTCCAAGGCCAGACAGTGAACGAAATACAAATCTTTCAATTCCAGAGTTGTATAATATTCATTAAGCCTCACTGCCTCCTTCTCTGAACCTTACTTCCAAGTTGTAAGTAAACATAATAAGCCTCTTAGGCATAACCCTAGCAATCGTTGCTCTTAGGCAAATGTTAGATGACTTCCTAAATGCTAAAACCCCAACCACCAAGGACCAAGGAGTGTGAGTGAACGTGTCTGTACCCATCCATCTCACCAGCCCCTCTCAGATGTGTCCTGAACCCTCACCTCTCCCTCTTAACTTTCCTCACCTGGATTTGCTTTTTCTGTTCCTTACTAGTTTGTTGGTGGAGGGGCAGGTGAGACTGTGAAGAGCTTGAACTTTGGAGCCAGGTTGCCTGCCTTTAATGCTTGCCTCCAGCACTACCTGGTTGTATGACCTTCGGCCTCTTTTCCTCGTTAATAAAATACAGATAATGTAGTATCTACCTCATAGACTTGTACGTTTTAATGAGTTAACACATGGAAAGTGCTTAGAATGGTGCCTGGTCCATACAAGTTAAAAACTGTTAAAATCTCAGTTTGACACTCATTCAGCTGGTCATCTAAACTTAAAATCTTAACCATGGTGTATTCTCTCCACCACACCCCCATCTTACCAGTTAACAAATCCTTTACCTGTTTTTGTTTTTGTTGTTGTTCCTTGTCACTTGCCAACACCTATTACCTCCCTTCTTCCAATTTAGTCCCCAGTCCCTTCCTATTTTATTATTTGCATCTTATTTTTTATTTGCTTTTTATTTTAAAACCTCATTTCATATTTACAGCATGATGAAATCTTTTTTTTTAAACCTATATTTTTATTGATTTTAGAGAGGAAGGAAGAGGGAGAGAGAGCTAGAGATATGAATGATGAGAGAGAATCATTGATCGGCTGCCTCCTGCACGTCCCCCACTGGGGATCGAGCCCGCAACCCAGGCATGTGCCCTTGACTGAAATCGAACCTAGGACCCTTCAGTCCACAAGCTGACGCTCTATCCACCAAGCCAAACCAGCTAGGGCAGCAGGATGAAATCTTAACACTGAGCCCAGCATTTGCTACCCTTACTGTGACACAGTCGATTTCCTGCCTTTTTCACACTAACCAATCTGGTAAACACCATCTTCCTCCTTCTTTGAACATAACTTGTTTATTTCTGCCTTTGCTTCATTTATTTTTCCACCTTTAAAATTCTGTTCTGTAAATCTCATGATCTTCCCCCCTCTTGTAAAATGCTATACTCCTTGCCTCTGGAACCGGTTTTACCTCATATTTGTCTACTTGTTATTGTTTAGCTTTTCTTGCAATCCTCATATAGGGTAATACCTATTACTTTTAACAAATAAAGCCTATATTCCAGTGGCTTCACATTATCAAGTTTATTTCTCATTCATGTAACAATTCAGTGTGAATGTCCTTCCATGATAAAGTTCAGTGGCATAGACTTTTTTTTAATCTTTATTGTTGAAAGTGTTACGTATGTCCCCTTTCTTCCCACATTGCCTCCTTCTAGGCCACCCCTGCTCCCCGCTCCAGGCCTTCATTCACCCTATTGTCTGTGCCCATGGATTATGTATATATGGATACAGGTTCTTTGATTGATCTCTTCCCACCCACCCCCACCTTCCCACTGAGATTGGACAGTCTGTTCCAAGGGCCGGCCATAGACTGTTTATCCTGTGGCTTTTTTATTCCTTAAGGGCTTCTTTATTGGCAGAAGGGTAAAATGAGCACAGAAAAGGAATACTGTTTAACCTATTAAGCTCTGCAGACACACATAACTTAAGCTCACAGTCCACTGGTGAAGATTAGTCATATGGGCCAACTGGATGTAAAGGGAGTTGGGAAATGTGGTCCTTGGTTGTCTGCATTGGCTTCCTATCAACTATCCAATAACAGTAGGTCATAAATTCTGGTGAGTTATTAGGCATCTCTTGCCAATGAGATTGTAGCATTTTCTGGTCTAGGCAGGGACTCTTACATGTATTTTTTTATAAAATACAGTACTATAAAGCAACCAGCATGGTGCTTAATAGAACTCGAGGACTAACAGGAGTAGGAGGATGGTTAAGTTCTTTGGGTCTGATACTTGGAAAACTTACTTTGACTCTTGCCCCACAAATAATTAATTGGTTGACTTAAGGAAGTTATTTATTCTATGTTTTTCATATAACATGTTTATTTCATAAGGCTGAAAGTTTAAATAAACTGTCATTTAGTGCCCTGTGGTATAGGATTAAAAGTAGCCTCAACCAGCCTATAACAAACTAGGATATGAAAGATCCATATTACAGTCCAGAACTTTCTAACTAGTACAGAGGGACTTTTTCTTAAACATTTCCCATCTGGAACAATTTACTGCTCCACCTGACAGCCCTTTCATGCTGATACCTGAATGATCAGTCATGCATCTCAGGTGACAAATAAAGGAAAGAATGGGCAAGTATGAGTCAGTTTACCACTGTTAAAGACTCAGGATTTTCTGTGAATATTTTCATGTGTTTTTTTTGTTTTGTTTTTTTGCTTTTGTTGCTGCTTATAATTATTGCTAAATTTTCATTTTTTTACTGTATATTTTCTTTCCTTTTTGTTAAATTTTCATTTACATTTAATGTCCTTTTTGTTATTAAAGTGTTTGCAGTCGTTCTCAACCTTTCTAATGCCAGGACCCTTTCATACAGTTCCTCATGTTGTGGTGACCCCCAACCATAAAATTATTTTCGTTGCTACTTCATAACTGTAATTTTTCTACTGTTATGAATCGTAATGTAAATATCTGATATGCAGGATGTATTTTCATTGTTCGCGACCCACAGGTTGAGAACCGCTGATTTATAGGTTAAACCAGGGGTGGGCAAACTTTTTGACTCGAGGGCCACAATGGGTTCCGGAACAAAAGCATGGATGGAGTGTTTGTGTGAACTAATATAAATTCAAAGTAAACATCATTACATAAAAGGGGACAGTCTTTTTTTTTTTTTTAGTTTTATTCATTTCAAACGGGGGGCCGTAGTTTGCCCACGGCTGGGTTAAACAGTACAATAGACAGGTACTGTATATAAGAAAGGTTAAAACGGAATCATTTGGGGTCTGGAATGGATTAATTCAATTTACATTATTCCTAATGGGAAAAAATGACTCCGTTTTCAAACAGCCTTCAAGGATGAATTAACTTCGAGAGCTTCCACTGTATATGACTTGGGCAAGTCATATAACTTCTGGGTTTTGATTTTGTCATCTTTCTAGTTCTACCCGTCTGGGATTATGAATTACAGAGTTAAATCATTATTTAACATTATTATGATTTCAAATATCAAGGAGATACTGCTTTGTAAATCCAAAATTATCCAGATAATTTTAGTATTGTTTAATACTGATGACGTTAAGTATTAATTTGAAAAATAGTATAATCACAGACATTTCCCTCTACCCCCATCAGAATACATATTGAAAATATTTTCAGAGTAAGATTTTGTTTGTCTTGTAGGCATTTTGTTCCCAACATCACCTTTGGTCACCCCGTGGTAGAAAGCCTCCGAAAGCAGCTAGGCCAGGACCCTTTCTTTGGTAAGTGGGTGTTATGCCATCTGAAGCTGGATGTGTTGCTCAAGTAAAGGAAAAGGTGGTTGATTTCTCAACTTTCAATTTCATCTAGAACCCCTTTTCCCCCTATCTGTGCTGGGGCTTCATTGGCTGCCTATAATAAGCCAAACTCTTGCCTTGGGACTTTTGCTAATTTCTTGCCTGGAAAGCTATTCACTTGTCTAGGTCTGCCTCATCTTTTGGCCTTGGATCATTTCTCATTTCCTCAGAGAGGCCTTTCTAAGCACCCTATCTTAAGGTAACACTTATCCAGTTCTATCAGCTTCTGGATATTCTTCTTAGAACTTCCTTTAATCTGAGGTTATTTTTATTAGACTGTAAATTCCTTGATTGTAGCGATTTCCTAGAGCTAAGCATAGAAACAAGATTGGGGCTCAGTGTAATGTTAAGTGAATTTATGGATGGATTGATTTTTATGGTCTAGAAATGGAGCCAATTATTTCATGCAAATTGGAACTTTCTGCAAGTGAGGCTTATATATGTTCCCTCTTCAATGCTGTAGGATATTGTGAATTAAGGTTTATAAGGTCACACAGTAACCTAGAAGTTACTTCTAATGGAAAATGAATTCAGCCCATATATTGTTGCTGCTCTTTTAAACTAAGCTAGCAGTGCCTCACTTGCCAAATCTCTTGTATGTAAGTTTCTCAGTGGTATTAACCATATTGCAAGTTCTTCGGCACACGTGGCTAGTGACTACTGTATGGTATAATACCACTATGGAACATGGCCATCATTGTAGAAAGTGCTGTTGGACAGTGCCTCTCTGTAGTATCCATCCACTTTGAGTGAACCAAAGAAAATGTACATTATCACCTATTTATGTGGCAAGAGGAAAACAGTGTTCCATCAACATGTTCGCCATTTTGCAATTTCCAAATAATAGAATTTTCCAATGTAAATTTGCTCTTCTGACTATCAGAGGTGGATGAAATAAGTAGCCTTGTTTGTCCCCCTATACAGTGGCCACAGAGTCCTCTGTTTCAGCTTTGTGTATGGATTTTTAAAAATTCTTTTTTTTTTTCCCCTTTTCTTTCCCTTTTATTTGGGCTCCTAGTGTCACTTCTCACTGCTGTTTGTGTGTCCTACTGTAAGTGCTTCTCTTACCAACCCTACTGCCGCCACCACATACAATCTGCTTTTTCTTCCTGTTTTAGTTTACTTGCTGATAAAGTCACTAATTAACCTTTCTAGAATTGGGTCTAAAATAAAGAAGAATGGACTCTCTCTGCTTTAATGTTGCATTTTGTGATCTTTTCTTTTTTTAATTAAGAAGTATGTTTCGTTTAATTCTTGGATCTTGGCTATTGGATAATTGACACATGAATATATTCTAGGAACTAAACCACAAGTTGTATGTATAACTGCTAGAGTTCTTAATCGTTTCATCTTAGTACTGGGTATGAATAACCATTTAAGGAATAAAGTGGTAGGGAAAAGTCTGTTTTTTGCTATTATCCAGATCAGTGGTCTTCAAGTTTGGCCTGAGGGCCCATGGGAATCCCTTTCAGTTGTGCATGAGATCATAACTATCTTATATTATAGTATTATTGCCATATTTGTTCTGAGGATGCAGAAGCAATGGTGAGTTAGTCTGCTGCTGCCTTAGCTCGAGTCAAGGCAGTGGTATTCAACTCTACAAGTAGTCATTAACATTCTTCATCGTGATGTGTTCATAGTATCTGTAATGAGGTAGTGCAAATTATTAATTTTAGTAAATCTTGATCCTTGGATGCATGTTTTCTTAATATTTTGTGTGACAAAGTAGAATGTACATGTAAGGCGTCTCTGCTGCGTGCTGGAGTGTGATGGTTTTCTCAAGGAAAACCTCTTAGGCCATGTTTCTGTTGTGACTGAACTGTCTGCTTTTGTTATGAACACCATTTTCACGTGAAAGAACAACTGACAGATTGAACTGTGGTTATCACACTTGGTATTTTACTGACATTTTTTAAAAAAATTATCTAAGTTAGCCTATCACTTCAAGGAAAGACCGTATTAGCTTTTGTTGCTCCCTGATAAAGTTAGAGCTTTCAAGTGAAAATTAGAATTTTGATAAACATATATCTGCTGCTATGAGCTTGACTAATTCCTACTACTAAGAGTTTTTCTGTAGTGATGAGATCTGTTGTGATGTAATAAATGTGCTCTTTTTTATAGCATGTAATGAAATGTATCTTACTTAGAAGATCTGTTAATTCAGTGAACCAGTACTTAAAAGATCCACTCAAATGATTAGACCAACAGGTTTTAGTGCAACAAAGTAGAAAAGGTCACTGGTAGGGTTTACAGATTCCACATTTCAGCCAACCTTTTTAAAAGTAACCACTTGCTGAATTTTGGTGTAGAAATAGAATATCCACACTTGTCTGAAAAGGCTATTAATGTACGCCTCCCTTTTTTATGTACTTTTCTTCATATAAAACAACATATTGTAACAGAGTGAATGTAGAGCAGATGTAAGACTACAGATGTCTTCTGTTAAGCCAGGTGTTAGAGACTTGCAACAATGTAAAATAACACCACTCTTAACATCATAAATTTATTATTGCTTATTTTTAAATGAATTGATAAGTAGACATAAACATTTTGTTTCTTTTCCTTTTTGTTAAATATATTTTTTATTGATTCCAGCGAGGAAAGGAGAGGGAGAAACAGCAACATCAATGATGAGAGAGAACCACCAATCGGCTGTCTCCTGCATGAGCCTACAACCCAGGCATGTGCCCTGACTGGGAATTGAACTGTGATGTCCTGGTTTTATAGGTCAAAGCTCAACCATTGAGTCACAGTGGCTGGTCAACATTTTCTTAATTTGAATTTCTAATACATTAAATACAGGTAACATCAGCAGTGCTTTTTGGGGTCTTCAGTAATTTTAAGAGTGTAAAGGGAACCTGGTAGTAGAACATTTGGGAACTGCTCGTCTCGGTGTGTTTAACTACAGGCCGATTCACTGAACCACTGACTCCCTGAACGCTAGAGAGTCCCCAGTGAGCGCTGCTAGTGGTTACTGCATGGGAGACATGGAATGACGTAGCAGTCTGGTAACTTAAGGAATGAGTGAACCAGATATTTTAAACTAGATTGAATTTTCCTTGTTTATAATACAGAGAAATAAGAAACACCAAATAGAGTCTGTCTTTTAAAAACTGTGTGTTATCTATTAAGATGTGTTCTATTTTTTCTTCCTTTTGTTTAGAAATATAAACTTGAATCTTTGTGTCATTAGTCAAGTGGTATATCTTCCTGACAGTTTTTCAAAGCCTTAGTGCATTTCATAATCTTACTTGACTTCTGGAATACTAGGAATTTTTTCTTTAATAAGTTAAGCTATGTCAGAAATGTGCTTCCTTTAGCAAAACAAAAAACTCAAAAGTCTTCTCACTACCATCAATCCTGCACAGGGGTATGTATTTACTGTTTCCTTCTTCACAATGATTATTTCTTGATTTAGCCTCTTTTAACCTGCCTTTTTCTTATTAAATGCTATTAAGTTACAAGTCAAGATATTTAAGAAGGTCAGACCTGTTTTACCTAATATAATATTTATATGATTCAAGCTTCAGAATTAGGATGCATGTCAGACTTCTTTTATGTCCTTCTCCCCTTCCAATTCATGCTTCCTCCTGCAGTTTTGCCTCTCAGTTAATGGAGTTCTGTTCTGGTTACTCCAGCCCCAATCCTTGCACCATTCTGCCTCTCCTTTCACTGTCCAAAATGGAATCCACAGCAACTCCTGTTGGCACTATGTTCAGAACATACCCAAAATCCCACCACTTCCCAACATCCTCAATTATTACTGTCATCCTTTCTCACCTGGGTTATTGCCATGGCTTTCTAAGTCAGATTTTGTCACATCCTCACTTAAAATCCAGTGGTGTTTTTCTCATCTCATTTGGAATAAAACCTAATGGCCTGCAGAACTCAGTACTGTCTCCTCACCCCGTGCCTCTCTGACCTCATTTACTCTCCCCATTGCTCCACACCGGCTTTGTTAATTGTCATCCTAGTGCGTATTGTATTTACTTATTTTTTCTTATGGTTTGTCTCTCCTGCTAAGAATGTAATCCTCATGACAGCAGATTTTTGTTTGTCGTTTTGCTCTATCCCTAGGGCCTTAAAATAGTTAATGGTGCAGTAAGTGCTCAATAAAATATTGATGAAGAGAATCACTTAATTTAGCTTTCTTTTATAAACGAAGAAAGTTTTCACAGATAATGACTTTTTAAAAAGGGGTTTTTTTTGAGTCGTATTTACTAGACCTGGACCTAGGTTTCCTGATTTCTAGTCATTACTTTCCATATACAGCAACAGATGCTTATTGTACAAAAATGTGTGTGTTTGTGTGTGTGTGTATGAATGAGTTTAACCAAAATCTGATCTTTAGGATAAAAGGAGGCTATTTATACAGAAGTGTAATTATTTAAAACTTATTGTGATGTCAGAAGAGTATGTATACAAAATGGGGAAAACTACAGGTTGGCTTCAGTAGTATGAGCCAGGTATTTTCCTTTCAGTAATATTTAGGAGACGTGTCTTTTCTTTCTAGACATGCACATGATGGTGTCGAGGCCCGAACAGTGGGTAAAGCCAATGGCGGTAGCAGGAGCTAATCAGTATACCTTTCATCTCGAGGCTACTGAGAACCCAGGGGCTTTGATTAAAGACATTCGGGAGAATGGGATGAAGGTGAGAGGTCAGCCATGACAGTAATGTTTTATACTACTCACGCTCAGTTGGGAAGATTTGGTGGAAGGCATTTCTTACATTTCTAAGACCAGACTTAGGCAGCTATTCTTCATTGGGAAGCCAGTGTATTAAGTATAACTTGTTTTTTGTTTAAGTAAAATAATGTGTAATAATTCTTCTGATTATGACTGCTTTTTTAGAAACATTTACATTTAATAGCCTAGTTGACTTTTTAAGTAATTATAGAGTCCGAACAATTTACCCATTCCGTTTATGTATGTATTCTCCTTTTTTGAGAATAGGTATTTCTACTGGCCCTGATATGCCACAGTAATAAATGTAATGTGGAAGTGATTGTTAATGTGATTTAGCACATTTGTCTCTGTCACAGGTTGGTCTTGCCATCAAACCAGGAACTACAGTTGAGTATTTGGCACCGTGGGCTAATCAAATAGATATGGCCTTGGTTATGACAGTGGAACCTGGGTTTGGAGGGCAGAAATTCATGGAAGATATGATGCCAAAGGTAAAAGAAGGATTTGATTCTGGGGTGAAGCTCTTATGAGTGCTCATTCAATAAGTATATATTAAATCACTTGTATATGCCCTGTTCTGAAGGTGGGGACATGGAAATGCCTACAGATTACTTAATACATTATGATAAATGTTGTAAAAGATTTAGGTCTGGAAATGAGAAAAGATACTACATTTTAATCTTGAAATTTTCTTCCAAAACCATTATTTCTATAGCCTTTAGAGCAGCGGTTCTCAACCTGTGGGTCGCGACCCCTTTGGGGGTCGAATGACCCTTTCACAGGGGTCGCCTAAGACCATCGGAAAACACATATATAATTACAGATTGTTTTTGTGATTAATCACTATGCTTTAATTATGTTCAATTTGTAACAATGAAATTGGGGGTCACCACAACATGAGGAACTATATTACAGGGTCGTGGCATTAGGAATGTTGAGAACCACTGCTTTAGAGCTTTTGGGAGTTTTCATTGAATATTGAGGGTTTTGTCTTTTTACCATGAAGTATGTTCTCTGAAAAGCCATGACAAATTTAATGCCGTTTGCCAAAACGAACAAAGCTTGCTTTTGGGAAACTTAACTTGTTTCAGTATATTAAAAGGGAAGTTTTCCCCAGTCATAGTTTGTATTGTTATGAAGTTACTGTGTGAGACATTTGGAGTCCTATTTTAGTGGGTGATATTGGCTGTTTGAAGTTTTTTGTTGTTGTTTTTTGGTTGTGTCCCCATCCCCATCTTATCTACTTTAGGAGTCACTTATTTCCTTGTGTATATCCAGGTTCACTGGTTGCGGACCCAGTTCCCATCTTTGGACATAGAGGTCGATGGTGGAGTAGGTCCTGACACTATCCATAAATGTGCAGAGGTGAGACACTGCCTCAACTGTGACCTAGACCATTTTCCTGCCAGATGTTATGTCCAGGTCATTGTCTTGTGGGCCAAAGAGATTTCCTTTACATTTCCTGTTACCTTTCTATCTTGGAAATGTTTGTGTGTGGTGGTGGTGTTTTTTTGTTTTGTTTTGTTTTTTGTTAATCCTCACATGAGGATATTTTTCCATTGATTTTTAGAGATAGCGGGTGGGAGAGGGAGAGAAAGAGAGAAATATTTATGTGAGACAGACACATCGATTGGTTGCCTCCTGCTTGCACCCCAACCAGGGCTGGGGAACCTGCAACCAAGGTACATGCCCTTGATTGAAATCAAACCCAGAACCCTTCTGTCCATAGGCCAGCGCTCTATCCACTGAGCCAGCTAGGGTGGAAAAGTATTTTTGTTCAAATGTAGAACTCTCTACATATAAAAGGCTAATATGCTAAGTGTCCAATTGGTTGCTATGACACACACTGACCACCAGGGGGAAGACACTCAATGCGGGAGCTGCCAAGCTGCAGTGACTTGGCAGTGGCGGTTCTCGGGTGATGCACCCTGAAACCAGAGAGGAGGGAGCCTGATTCCTCGTGGGACTGCGTGATTCCACCTTTGGTCGTGGATTATATTGTTGCTGGGGCACTTTCGGCCTAAATCTGGTTTACTGCACACTTGCATTTGCGCTCCACACCCTGTACGCCAGCAACTTTGCAGAGTGCCCTCTCGCACGCCGGGACCTCTCGGAGGGATGTCAGAGAGCTGGTTTCGGCCTGATCCCCGCAGGCCAGGGACCCCCCTCATTCTGTAGATGCCCTTTGAGTTATATTGCACCCCAGGTATGGCCGGCCAGGGAGGGACTGCGGGAGGTTGGCTCCAGGGCATGTCCGGCCCTTCTCGCCCCGCCGGCCACCTTCTAATTAATTTCTTTTCAATGGTGCATGAATATGTACACCGGGGCACTAATAGGAAAATAAAGAGCAATAAGTGAATATTCTAAAATCACGTAATCATTAAAGATTAAGTTTGGTTATCTCAGTAATGTTGAAGAAAGTTCCCTTTTGAAAAAGAATATACTGAATGCCAGACTTTAGAAGATCATTAAGTTCCAGGGCCTTGGAATTAGTCATTTGTCCAAATAGAGAAAGAAAGCATACCTTCTTATAAAGGGAAAAAATCGTTACTCTGTAGAACTTAGGTATTTTTATTATCAGTTTGTCTCTTGTAAGAACTGACTAGGGCCATTTTTGTTGAAATTGTGGATCTATCTCTGGACACCCTTAACCCTCTGTGTTGAGCTGGGATGAGTTCTGAGTAGTTAGCTGAGTTAGGATCCTGAGCTTCATTAAGAGGATGCCAGCCCTTCCTATAGCACTGCAGGTGATTGAAGGGGCCTGTTCTTACTAAGCAACCTTGTCTAATCTGCACTTCTAGTTTTTTGTATAAATGCCACACTTTTCTGCTTAATACTTGTCAAAAGCTGGGCTGTGATAAGTATGGAAGAGGAGCTGCCCAAATGTTCAGTGAGCGTATATGCTTTGACTCCCTGTGGAATTCTTTTTGCTAAACTACTCCTTGCCATTATGCTATTCCTGTTTACATTAAAAGATGTAGCACGTGAAACTTTTTTTTTTCATTTTTATGAGGAATGTTCTTAGACCTGTAGTAAGTACACTGTATCATAGAGTGACAGCATCTCATTGGGAAAATTTTCTTCAGCTTCAGTGGTTCCCCCTTTCTTTTGGCAATGAATCACGTCATGGATTGGGTTTCCCTCCTCAAGTCAAATCCTAGGAAGCACAGAACTAAATTTTGATGGGTATTAGTTCCTTTCCTTTATTTTTATTTTTATATTTAAGAACACCTTGAGATTCTTTAAGCCACCTTAAAGCCATTCTGGCTACAGTGAAGCCTAAGTGAGACTTTCCATTCCTTCTAGCCTCAAAATGAGAAATTATTGAATGTTGCCGTATTTTATACATAGCTTCACATTTTAGCAACATTGTCCTTTCAGACTATCCACCAGTTCATCTACATAATTCAAAATTAAAAGGTAGTTTTTTTTAGTAGCTATGGAGATATTGGTATATACTGGAAAAACCTTAATAGAGTTGAGGATTAAAGATCATTATTAGCAAAGATGCAGTATAGCTTATTTAGAGTTTGTTACTTAAAAGTCAGTGATTTCTTAGACACGTTTAAAAACCATTTCACAGCCTTATTTGTTAAGCATTTTAACTTTTTTCTTCAATCTGTTCATCTCCAAGTGGCTTTTGTACAGTTTAAGTGCTGACTGAGAGATGCAAAGGTAGAAACTCGAGTCCAGGAATTCTGTTTTAGGCTTTTCTGTGTCTTTCTTAGAAGCATAACTAAGTGTTTACTTCTTCCAGGCAGGAGCTAACATGATTGTGTCTGGCAGTGCCATTATGAGGAGTGAAGACCCCAGATCTGTGATCAACCTGTTAAGAAATGTTTGCTCAGAAGCTGCTCAGAAACGTTCTCTTGACCGATGAAAGCACAAGGAGTCCAGTGTCTCTGCTCATGAAATGCTTTTACTGGAGAACAAGGATATTGACTACCAACTCATATCACAACAGTGCTGCTTTTCTGAGCAATTCATTCCAGTGACTAACATCTGTTGTGCAGAATGTCCCAAGAGGTTAGAAATTTAGTGAAGGGATTTAAAGATTAGTGGGGTGAAATGCCATTTTTACTGGGAAACTTGATTTTTATAAAGAGTAAAAATACGGTTGTATTAAGGTTATAAATAGAAATGTGTCTTAATGCCTAAGGAAGGCACATTAGCTATTATGAAAAATGTTTTTCTCCACTTCTAAAAAGAAATTTCTATTGTTTCTTGGCTGTTTTCAAAAAGCAAAGTAAGTTCTTATGTCTTTCCTGTTTCTTGTCATTTTTGGTTTATCTCTATGCATTATGAGTAGAATAGAAGTTAAGGAAAATCTATGGCTGGAATAGCATACCGTATTCTTCTTGCTTCTAAAACATCTATTTTTTCACTTTGCACCTTATATTTGATATAAGAAAACCATGTCTGAAGCCCAGGAGTTTTGGGTCTGTTGTAAAATACATAGATTTTATCAGGTGTTCTGTTAGCTTTGCTGCAAGGGCAGATGATTCATTGATTTCCCCACCATCTCCCCTTAATCACACCGACCGTTTGTAAGGATGTGAGGTAATGTGCTAGTTCTGAGCAGAAAGGAAAGAAAAGCCTCTTTTTGGAAGACTGAATTTACTCTTCCCCTTTCCAAATTTGACCTTAGCAAATCAAATCAACATCTTTGAGCTTCTATTAACTGATCTATACATTGAATTTAGTTATAATAACTGTGCAGAGTTGTGTTGAGGATGAAAAAAGATACTCTTACAGATGTAAAGCTTCCACCATTGTTCCTAGAACCGGCATAGAATTGAGGATGCTCAGTACAAAGTAGCTGTCATTATAAAGTTTATGTTTTGTAGGTAATAAAGTACTTTGCTGATCTCATTAAATCTTTGAATCACTCCTGTGAGTGGGCAGACAGGTATCTTTGTCCCCGTTTTTGAAAAATGAAGACACTGAAGCTCAGCAGTAGGCTACAAGCACAGAATGGACTCAGTAAGGCACGGGAGTTCTGGTCTGTGCTCCTTTTACAAATGGAGGCCTCGGGAGGTGGATTAGGCAAAGGAAGCTTCTTAACATTGTCTTATTTCCAGTCTAACTTGACCCTGTAGCAGAACCAGATTGCTGAGGATATCCCAGCACTATGGATTTTGACCCTAAAGGATATGTATTTTATTAATCCAAGAAAGACCAGGTAGGCTAAGAGATGGCAAGGTACAGAATCATTCCATAAACTAAATATTTATAATTGTGTCCCAAATCATATTTTGACAACAAATATGTCAGTCACCTAATACTGCAAATACTCTTGCTATGTAATACATATGGCAAGAAATAACAGGACCAGTGTCATTGAACTTCTTTAGACTACTGTGAATTTTAAGAAAAAAATAATTGAAAAATTAGAACATGTATGGAATAGAGTTTGCTTGGTTTTATTCTACATTACAAGGTAAAAATGTATTTCTTAACATGTATTTTGGCTTAGGAGGAAAGTTTTGTGCCATGTATAGGTGGCGTTTTATCAAATCAGACAACACAAGGAATATAGAAATAACTTTAATTAAAAAACTTACATAGAAGATTATAATAATGAGACATGACAGAAAGATTTGAGTTTACGTGCCTGGACAACTTGGGTTTGTCTGGCTTTTGTTTCTTAAAAAAATAATAAATGTACAGTAAAACTACAATCAAAAATTTGTCAGTATTGAATTTTTTTCTTCTTAAAGGGGCTAGCATAATTTCTAGTCCCTAACAAAACCGTGTCAAATCCCCCAAGTCTGGGCCAGGATTGTCAGTTATATGGGTACTACAACTTGAATAACCTTTTTTACATGAGAAAAAAACAATTCATATAAATTGTCCTCAACTTTTATATAGAAAAAAATGATGTAATATTTTCAAAAGGAATTTTCCTTAATGTACATACACTTCAGTATCCAGTATTGGTAATACTGAAGCATTATCCTTTGGATAGTTTTAATTCTCACTCTAGAATACAAGTAAGAATAGATGCTTATTTGAATAGAGTAATAAAGAATGACCAAATTAACTAGAAATACATTAATATTTTTATAGTGACAGAACTTTCCTATGTTGCTTATTTTGAGTTTTAAAGGAGGTAATAGTTTTAAAAACACCAATATTTAACTCTACTCTGCTTGTCCTATTCTGTTAGGGGTGCATAGAAAGTGACTTGTATTTAGTTCAACAGATATCACTGATTTCAAATAAAGTAATATTGTTTTACCTGGTATAGGAATTTCCATAAATAATTTCTATTACTTAAACATGTTTTTTAAAATCTCTCTTCGTAGCCAAGACTTTCAGGTGTTCACTATCATTGGAAACCTGTGCTGCTTTATTTATACTGCAGCTTATTTCATGGGGTAATTCATACATGTATTTTGGAGTGGTATCTGCCAGTGCATATGTGTGTGTATATATTTATATTCTGTACACACATTTATATATTCCAGTACCATGTGTATAGAAAAAAGAAGACCTGTCATTTGCTGCACAGGTATGTGTGTGTTTCTATATATGTATGTGTGGGTGTGAAATCTTTTAAAAATTCAGTAATGTGATTTGACACCAAATTGCAGCAGTTAATTTTTTGGTGCTTATGATCTGTATCATAAACACAAATGACTAGCCACTTGTCTGTAAGTGAAAAGCTAGTTAGATACTCCTGTGGTCCAAGAAGGAGAGAGAGACATACCTTGCCTGTTGCATAGAGAGCATAAAAGATTAATATATGCAGTATATGCTCTTACTCTGGAATTGTGACTGGAGGGGCTTATTTTTTCTCCTGTTTTCCATTCAGTTCCATCATTTTTTTAACCTGTACCTTGTCACCTATTTCTTTTTAACATGAGTAAGTCCTACAGCATAGGTTTTGTATTCTTCCATTCCGTCTGCCTGCCTTTTGGGATTTTGGCCGTTCTCTGGTGCGCTGGTACAGAAGACTTCACCACTGAAAGCGAGGCTTGAACTTTCAATCTGATCATTTTTTTTATCTTGGCATAATAAGGCTTCTGTGTCCTCATCCTTCAGCGGAAAAGCCCGTCGTTCCCACCACAAAGACTGAAAGAGAAAACATGCTCAGTTAAGTTTCAACTAATTTGTTTTGTTTAAATTAATGTATTAAGTGATCTGTAAATGTTAATTTCATGATAACTATTGTGGTGTTCTTTAGCACATAAATGTACAAATTTTCATTTGAATTTAAGTAACAACTCAAAATGGAACATACTGCGAATTGTTAGGGACCTTGGGGAATTGTTCCCTTTGCCTCTTCTTTGAAGAGGAAATGCTGCCTTGGGGGCACTGGTCTTCATTTTCAGCCTAGGGCGCTTTGGGAAAGCCCCTTTGATCTCCTTCTATACTTCACTATCTGCATTGGCATCCCATAATTACAGACAACTTGCCTGTTAATTTCTATAGACTCCATTCTAGATATGGTTCTTCTTTTCCAACACCTACGTATGAATAAAGGTGGGAGAACTTTATGCAGTGTTAGAAAACAGTCTCCTTGAGGTTAGACCTCGATCTGTGGGGATGGGGAGAGAAAAGAGAAATAGTGGCTAATGTTCACTCTGTGCTAGGTGCGTTCTCTTTACTCAGATTTGTTTTGTAATGAAAGTTTGATAGAATCCCTATTTCCTAACAGATTAATGAGTAGGTGGGATTAGTTATTGATATCCTATATAATAAAAGGCTAATATGCAAATCAACCGAACAGTGGAACGACTGGTCGCTATGACATACACTGACCACCAGGGGGCAGACGCTCAATGCAGGAGCTGCCCCCTGGTGGTCAGTGTGCTCCAACAGGAGAGTGCCACTCAGCCAGAAGCTAGGCTTATGGCTGGTGAGCACAGTGGCGGGAGCCTCTCCCACATCTGGGTTCCTGGAGCGGGCCTAAGCCGTCAGTCGGACATCCCCTGAGATCTGGAAGCAAGAGGGCACAGGACACACACACACACACACACACACACACACACACACACACACACACCAGTGCATGAATTTTATACACAGGGCCTCTAGTGTTCCATAAAAAAGATAAGTGTTTATAGTAACGGAACTAGATTGTTGGAGTACAGATCCTCTTATTTGTAGCCAGCATTTTATACTGGATTATCATACTGAATTTGTTATGGAATGAATGCTTAATTTGCAACCAGCAGTTTTTACAAACAGGTTTTAAAAAGGATAAAAGGCAACTGAAAGGTTCCATTTACCTTGGTTTCCTGGCTTTCATTTACTGAAGGTGAGCCATGTGCGCTCAGATCCTGACTCTGCGGACTTTCGGCAGCATCTTGCTGATCACTACTAAAGTCATTAGGGTATTCTTTCAAAAGTAAGTCCTGTCCTTCAACATTTTTACTGTAAGCTCTAGCAAGAAAATTAAGCAAATATTTAATTATTTTTTGAATAAACATGAACAACCCAAGGTGTTACTAAGTCAATTTAACTAGGTAGCTGTTCTTTTAAATATTTCTGCCCCCAAAGTGAAATAAACCCTAATATTTTTAGGACTTATTCCCCCTTCCCTCAAAGTCATGTTCAAAGTATTTTAGACTATTTACTCTTAGACTAGACAGGATTTTATTTTCTTTAGACTTTCTTTTTTTAAGAAAACATTCTTTTGAAGTGGTTATATTAAAATAGAATACCCAATTCTAATACCTAGTGTTACGTACATTAAAATAACCTCCTTTATCTGGGAAGAATTATCACATTATTTGCTCAGTTAAATCTATCCCTGAGGCTAACTGTGAGCATTAGACTGGAGTAAAATACAGAAACTCATTTTATCACTATGTATGAGCCCAAATATATTTTGAGTGTAAGCTCAGTATATGTAGTATTTCCCTTCTAGTGCACAAATAGCTAAGGGTATATGGTATCTTTTCTTTTTAGTGACCTTCCTCATTATTCATACAGAATTTTTGTGGATTCCACATGGATGCTATGGTTTTGGGTTTTAAATGTATAACATCTACCTGCTGTTTCTTCTGTGCCACTTGCTTTGTTCCCATAGTGACCATCTGGCTTGCTCTCTCGCTTCATATTTTTTGTGTCTTAGGGAGAAGACTTCATCAGAAAGATCTTCTATCTGGAATTAGAAATAAAAAGTTTGGCTTTTATCAGAAACATTTTGAAATATACGACCAGGTGTCAATTCCTCATGAGTCAGGAGAACAATAGAAAGTAAACTAAAATAAATGCAATTTAAGTCAAGAGAACAAATGTTAGGAGATGAGCTTCAAATTCCTATAAAGAGAGAGTTAAAAACATTTTTAAACTTTTTTACTATTGGGTCACATTTGAACACTTACATAGATTACAAATAGGATCATAAGGCTTTTGTTTTACATAAAATATTATCAATGCTGTATTTATTTAAAAGTTTATACTGACTGCACAATATGGAGTACACTGTTCTAGAAACATGTTACTATCACAGAAAAGTAAAACTGATTGAGATAAATGAAAATCAATTTAATGACTTACCTGGAGTTTTAAGACTTTGGTTTTAAAGAATATGAGTGTCCTGGCTAGGATCATACTGAACTAGGGAAGAGTTCATGAAAGGTGAGAAGGGCATTAAAAAGTAAATTTTGGTAGTTGAAAAACACGATCGGTGGTCATTCGAACATTGTTACAGAAACAATGTCTTTTACATAATATACTGTTTCTGTATCACTTTCTAATTTTCTTTGGTTAAATACTATGTTTTGTAATGTTTTACCCATATAGATCCATAATCCCTTTCCTGCAATTCAAAAAAATCTGAAAAGCAACAAAACATGGCCAAGTTTTCATAATTCATTTGGTGACACAGACTGATCTCATGGTGTGAAGCTATTCTACTTCCTTATAAATACTTCATTATAGGAACATTAATATTTGATTGTGAGAATTGTCCTAGACTGCTTGCATGTATTATATGATGTATGCACTATATTATTTTTCTAAAGTCCAAAATTTTCCAAATTCCAACGAATTTGTTCCAAGACTTTAAATATGGTGGGCCTGAATATTAAGATTAAATCTCCTTGTGCAGGAAAATATGACTTAATACAGGAAATGAATGTAGAGATTCACATAAATTCAATATTTTAACTCATGGAGGCAAATGGTGTATTTTCTATTTGTATATGAACATTTTATAATCAAAATATCCCTTTTTTTTTAGAATGATGACTATTTTTATTTTTAAAAATATATTTTATTGATTTTTTTACAGAGAGGAAGGGAGAGGGATAGAGTTAGAAACATCGATGAGAGAAACATCGATCAGCTGCCTCCTGCACACTCCCTACTGGGGATGTGCGCGCAACCAAAGTACATGCTCTTGACCAGAATCGAACCTGGGACTCTTGAGTCCACAGGCCGATGCTCTATCCACTCAGCCGAACCGGTTAGGGCTATAATCAAAATATCTTTAATGAAGAACTTAGTTTTCATAAATAGAAAGAAAAAAATAAGCCTCAAATTAAACAGACTTCATAATATATAAAGTGTAGTTACTCTATCAGTGAAAGGAAACTTACCTCTTCATCTACATTATATTCATCCAAAGGCTGAAGAACAACCATCCTCCAGCTGTAGAAGATACAAATCAATATCAAACAGCTCTATGTCAGTAGTTATCAATAAACTGGCTCAGCAGAAACACACACACACACAAACACCACCACCACCCTGATCTGTGCGTATTTGCCAATTCTTTGTGTGAAGACTTCCATCCTGGCCTCTTTTGAGTTTAATAACTGAATCACAAAATTCCTCAATATTAAACAACCAGCTCAACCATCAGTTCTAGCCTATAACATAAATTGAAAATTGTTGCTATAGAACAACATAACCATAAATAATAAACATCGCTTATGTAGAATATATCAAAATTCTATGTAGGAATTCTCATCATACCTCAAAATAATTAAGAGAATTACAAATGAGCTGGAATAGAGAAAAGTAGGAATTATGGGAGTTGTCACCAGCTCATGCCCCTGTTTCTATCTCCTGGTGCCAGATTCATATTCTTAAGAAACTCCTTTCATCATTGCTAAAAAAAAAAATATGGTCTCACGTGGCTGTCAGTAGGAAGCAGGTCTGTGTATTGCATTCAAGGACCTCCACAATCTGGTTCTAAGTTCTTTTCTAACATTAATTCCCTTTATGTCCTACACAAAGCCTCAGTCTTCTGGCTGAGCCTTGCACAGGTGTCCGTATGTGAATAGGTCCACCTCCTCCATGATGTCTTCCCAGCCATCTTTCTGTTTAATAGGTTTATTGCTGACTTGGCACTACATCAACATCTTAGTTTTATTGTCACAGGTGTTACTGTCTTACAGTGTGAATACCCCATGCAAAGGTACTTGCTTCTTTGAACTCATTTTGCAACCCTGTGTAAACCTCCATTTTAAAGAGCAATTATTAATTAAAGTATATTTACATCCCTAAAGTACCTTTTAGTGCCATATATATCATAGATAAATAAGTACTGAATGGGGGGAAAAAAGAGTTTCACAGTAAATAAGTCTTAGGAATTCCCAATTCTTAATAGAAACTGAGAAGTAAACTTGTGATACCACATGGCACTTTTTTTCAGCATAAGTAATGTAAAATTTTCTCCATTTTCCCTCTATGGTTATACAAGTGGGAGGAAAGGGGAAAGCAGCATCTTCCTTTTATTAAAATTTTAACTTCACTCTGAAAATTTAAGTTTATTCAAGAAAAGGAAGAAAGAAAATAAAAGGATGTAAGTATTACATACCTTGGAGTTAGTATTTCCTTATATTGGAGTTTCTCTAACTTAGCTGGGGCCACTAATGACATGGGAATCACAATATTATCTATGTCATAAGAACTCTCACTTCTCAGTCTCCGTCGTGCAGTATTCTGCAGCAAAATAGGATTACAGTAGTTTTACAGCAGTATATACCTGTATATTAAGTTTTATAAATACATCATTAAAAATCTGACTATAAAATGTTGAAAAGGCAAGAAAGTATACTTGTCTTCTATAACCCAGACAATCTTTATATTTTTTGGTGGATATGCAGTATACATTTGTGTGTGCACACATCACAAACCTATGTTTATGACCATAACAATTAGAAATGCCCTAAAATGCAGAACTCTTATCATGAAAGATTACCATGAAGCACCTTAAATTGTCAATGAAATGGTCACTTTATAAACTTTTAGAGGAAGGGAGAGGGAGGGAGAGATAGAAACATCAATAATGAGAGAGAATCATCAATTGTGATTGGCTGCTTCCTGCACTCCCTCCACTGGGGATTGTGCCCTGAAAGCCCAGCATGTGCCCTCACCAGAAATCTAACCATAATCTCCTGGTTCATAGTTCAATGCTCAACCACTGAGCGACACAGGCCAGGCAACAAACTCACTTTTTATTGTGAAAGACCGGAATATGAAATATTTCTATGAAATACTTGGTGAGTCATTTAGTAAAGGTCATTATTACAGTCTTCATTTATGTATTCCTTGTCCCCAAGTTTAGCACTCTTTTTCTAAACCCATCCCTCTTTCTGATTAAAAAAAAAGTTTTTATTGATTTTAGAGAGAAATACCCATCGGTTGCCTCCTACACACCCTTTACTGGGCATTAAGCCTGCAACCCACGCATGCGTCCTAACTGGCCACCTCTGGGTGCATGGGCTGAACCAACAGCCACACCAGCCAGCCTTTCGACTTGCACTCTCTGATCAGATAAACCCACCTTTTGACTTGCACTCTCTGATCAGATAAACAGCAAAGGAACATACTTGTTGGATTCTTACTAGTAAGATTATATTGATCTTCATGTTAAGGAGTAGAGATGCTTATGATAAAGTTTGTTTCTAACAAAAGCCATAACCAAGGATTAATGAACAATTGGTTCCCTACTAAAACAGTTTATCATATTTATTGTTTCCTGATAATATAGTTCTAAATATGCTTATATGCGCTAGTAAATAAGGCCATTAATAAATATTTTTCTTCAAATCAGCCAGTTTTAAAATTCTATAAAGCAGTTATAGAGTTCAGTGTATGAAACACCTACATGTGTTGAATTTTGGGTTCTTGATATAACGTTGACATTAGCAACAGTAGTAAAATTGCTGTGGGATCCTGGTTCTGCGCGTTGAAAAGCAAATTCTTCAAATTGAGTTCTTTCTCCTGCCGTGGGAAAAAAATCATTGAGAATGTCAAACATTAACGTGACTTATATTCCTAGTCAGGTAACATGTAATTTCTTTTCTGTTTATTGGTTTTCTTATTATTTTTTAAAATCCTACAGAAAACAAAAAAAGAATGGAAAAAATTTTACCCACAATTCTAGTATTTCCATTTTCTGCCACAGTCCTGATTATTTTCATTTGCTGGGGTAATGACAGTTTTATACATTTTTCTACTTTTTGGAAGATTTCCTTAGCTTGATCTTCTGACCATTAATTTTTGAAAAGTGTTCTATGTTCAAAGTACTAATTTGTAAAAGTTCTTTTTCTCTTTTTGTTATAGCACCCAGTTTTTATTTTATGAAATTTTTCTTAGGATAAATTTACTTCTTTTTTTTGGTATTTTCTGTGTCTCACAATCCTGTTTCCCATTTGTTTTGGTTCCCTATTTGTGAGTATATATATATATAATTTATTCACATACATACTGCCTTTGTTTTACTTTAGCATGGATCTCAAAAAATATTTTCCTATGTAATGTAAAATCTGATACCCAGTCCATATTTACATTTTCCCACTTGTTAAAAAAATGTCCTTTATGTAGTTTCTTCAAATCATCCACACTGAAATTAGTACTAAAGACTCAAGACCAGGTGTCCTGCACTTTAACAGAGTTATCTACTTCTTAGTAATATTACATTATACTTCTTCTTATATCCCCGTGTTTCCATCAATCCAAGTGAAACATTTTATATCTGGTAATTTGTATTTTATAATATATCTTATTACGAGATGCAAGTTTTCCTGTGTTTAAGTACACATGTCTGAACATTCCTCAAAGGCTAAGTTATTTGGTCATCTTAACACCTTTCGTACCGCTCACGAGCTTTCTCGTGTTTCGCGCGCCATCTGTTATGGACCTTAGATGTCAACACATTGTCTTGTCCACGTCGAATGAAGCGATCTCATTGGGGGAAACCGTGCAGGTCAATCTACGAAAAACTATATAATTGCACGAACCCATAAAGCATTGCAGTTACATTGTATTTTGGTCATTCGAATAGTCTTCGTCTTCAAGTTCCTGGCACTTTTAGAAATGCCCTCTCTCAGAAAAAGGAAACCAACAAAACTGATACACTTCCTTTCGTGTTGTTCCATTCTAAGGAAAACGATGAAATGGACAAAAAAAGTAGTGCTGTACCTTATAAACTGTGGACTTTTCAATTCATTTAGAGTGTACGTCCTCAATCCACAAGCAAAAATGAAGTATAAACAGTTTCTGCTATCGGTGGCAAGAGACTGGATAACGGATGACAATAATGAAGGCTCTCCAGAACCAGAGACGAATTCTATCCAGCCCTTCCCCTGGGGGTGCAAGGAGAGCACCTCGTAAAGATCCACCTAAAAGGCTGTCAGGTGATATGAAGCAGCATGAACCTACGTGTATTCCAGCGAGTGGAAAGAAAAAATTTCCTACGAGAGCCTGCAGAGTTTGTGCCGCCCATGGAAAAAGGAGCAAATCTAGATACTTATGTAAATTTTGTTTGGTCCCTCTTCATAGAGGAAAATGTTTTACGCAGTACCATACGTTAAAAAAGTACTAGGAACTTTAATTGTTTGTTTTTGTAAATAAAAATGTTATAATTATTGAAAAACAACACCTAAAGTGCATTATGATCTGTAGTTATGATTTAAATAACGTGCAGTTTGCCCAAAAACGTGCGGCCCTGGCGTATGTCTTAGAGATTTCTATGAGGTACGAAATGTGTTAAGATCAAGGCACTAAAAAACTTGATGAAATCTCTGGTCAAGGGTGAGTTTAATTTTGTGCTACACTAGATCAGGTAGTGATTGTCATGTAGTGACTTGGCCCATTTTGGTGGGATTTCCAGAGACAGTGAAGAATGTGCTAAATCCTTCATGTTTAATTAAAATTCTGTACATCTTGGGTATAATTTGTTTCTAATTTATTGGTCATACTGACATTATATCTGGGGAATACGAATGTATATACAGGTGAGGCAAAAGGTTTACAATTCTTCATATGGAAAATAATTCAAGGATAAACTTTCACATCAACTGTAAAACTACTTTTGCCTCACCCTGTGGTGGTATATCCACTGGAACAGTGAACAAAACCTGAAAGTATATAATTTGCTAGTATATATCTTTGCAGTTAACTTTTACTTTTTATCATTAATTTGCATTTGCTGTGAGCACTATCTTATCTAAAATCCCCAACATAAACCTCACTTTTTATTTATTAGAAGGATCCTACTTTTATGATATTCCTATGGTCATCTTGGAATTAATTTTAAGTTACTAGAGGGAATTAACCTAGGTGGTTGAGTTACCTTAAATGAATCTCATCTAATTTCTCAAAATTTTGAGGAAGCTTCAGTGAATTGACACCACAGTAGATAACAGAAATGGTGATACATTTCTATGTCAGCCTTTTACTGGCATAATTTTAATCCAGAACACAACTGAGACTGTCATGTCCAGAATGATAGTTAATAGATAGCTCTAGACAGGGAAGGAAAGAAATCCTTACTTGCTATAAAGTGGATGGATGCACAGTCCACAATTTTTAGTTGATACATCAATGTGCTGTTTAATGTTCATAGGACCATGGATGTTTTATATAATTCATGGCTACTGGATTATAAACTCCCATGAAGCAGCGGTTTTTTGGAGGTCAGAATTTATTTTCAGTTTTTAGTACTAACCTCATTTTAACCTACCTAATGCTGTTTCACTCAAGTGTCTTTTCTTTCTCCCCTGTAACAGCTGTGCAGAAGATTCTGATCTTATTTGAGGCTTGCATGTAGAATATCCATTTCTCCATTGACTCAGAGAAGAATTATATACTAAAACAAACAGAAAGAAAATGTGCAATTTTAGTTCCTTAACACAGACAATGAACATGTTAGTGTTTCTACTTATAACATTGCAGAATATTAATATACCGTTTAAATTTGCATATAATAAATACTTAGATACCAAGATATAATACTCATAAACTGAAAATACTAAATAAGATTCCTCAACAACATCTTCAGGAATTATCCAATTTCTTACAGTTGCTCCATTATTTGAAGGGGATAAAAATGAAAGTGATCTGTTAACAAGTCTTCTAAAGTGCAAAATGTTATAGAGAAGATTGGTTCAATCTAAATATTGGTTAAATATAAACTCTATTTTTAAGTTTCTGCTTACCCTTAAATCTGGAAATAATTCAGGACTAAGTAAGATTTTACAGAATCACAATAGCCTGGGACCTCTTAAGAACATGAACAGATTTCATCAACCTTACAGTGCTTACCATTATTCTTTTCATTTTTTTAAAAGTGATGGCATTTTCTAAATCTTTAAGTCAATATTCTGTGCCTCAGCTGCCTTATCTGTCAAATAGGGATACTACGCATTAGAGGAATATCTGACATGATAGGTGTTGAGTAAATGTTAATTTCTTCAAGATTATTGTCTGTCTGAACGCCATATTTTCAGTACTAGATTGATCAAATTGGTTGCTTTTCTTGAAGGATTTGGAAATGTGTAAATAAATGGAAAAAGGAGTATGTGGGCTAAAGTACCAAATTCTCATCAACATTGAAAAAAAGCATGGCCTATCAACAGTAATGGATTCTTGACTTCAAGATGGCAAAGCACTCCAAAAATGCAGTCAATCATCTCAGAGATGCAAATTGAAACAATCAACTTACACCTGTCAGAATGGCTATCAACAAATGACAAGTGCTGGCAAGGATGTGGAGAAAAGAGAACCCTAGTACATTACTGGTGGGCAAAACAGTACGGAGTTTCCTCAAAAAATTATGGAACACCAATCAGAAAGAATATATGCATCCCTATGTTCATAGCACAATTTACAATAGCTAAGATTTGGAAACAGCCCAAGTGCCCATCAGCAGGTGAGTGGATAAAGAAAAAAAGAAAAATTGGTAACGTTTATTACACAATGGAATCCTATGCAGGGGTAAAGTTACATTTAACATTTGCAACAGCATGGATGGACCTGGAGAGTATTATGCTAAGAGAAATCTCACGTGGAATCTAATGAACAAAATAAACTGATGAACAAAATAGATCCAGAGACATAGAACCATGAACAGACCAATGAATTTCATAGGAAAGATGGGGGTGAAGGAGGAGATATTAACTGGGGAACTTTTCCTATATGCATACAAAGGCTTGGGAGGAGTGGGTATGGGCGGGGGGGGGGGGGGGCAGACACCTGTAATACTCAAGAAATTTTTTAAAAATGAAAATGATAGACAAAGTTTTTATAGATATGCACATATACATACTAGTAAGCAAAAGGGAATGTGTCAGTGTGCAGAATTTGTGAGAAATCTCTGAAGGACTAATACCACATGAAATTTTACTGAAGAGCAAACTCCTTACAAAAGCGTGATCAACGGCAAAGGTGTTCTACACCTATAGGAAAGGGAAACAGCAGGACAATTATCTGGAGCAACTAATATGATCTCAACAACTCAGCAAGGCCGATGAGAGACTATCTTACTAGATAAAATCTGAGAGCCTGGAGCAGAGAAATGGATAGATAAGGCAATGTCTATGTTTCCCACTTTAAAACTGCCCATCTTTGCCTCTGAAAAATTGTATAGAGCACTAATTTCTACCCTTTCCACCAAAAGCACTGCATAAATAGGCAGAACAGTCTTAATGGTGATAGGCAATTTAAGAATGAGAACACAAGACCAACAGTCTGAATACCAACACAATACAAAGAGGCACAAACAACAAATGGAAGAACTATCTCCATTTGAATAGCTTACAGAGTGTAGATTAACAAGTCTTCAAAATTCTAACATTGCCGAAAGGAACAGGTAGAAAGCCTCTAGAGAGACCTTAGAAATGGAAAACAAAACTTTCAAATTTTAAAAAAATTACTAATTGGGCTGAAGAACAGAATGGACACAGCTGAAAATCAGTCAGTAGGTTGGAAGAGGAATTCCACAACTCAAAGGAATATGGTGATGGAAAATAAGACAAACCAAGATGGGATAACAGGACAGAAAGAATGAATGGGGAGCTATATTTGAAGACATGGTAACCAAAAAATTATCCACAATCAATTATATTAACCCTGGATTGCAAGAAATTGAGTGTCAAATCAAATGGGAAAAACACGCCCATAAATCATATAGCACATCACAGTGAAGATACCCTAAAAGTTACCAGAAAAGGAATAAGATTTCTGCAAAGAAATGAGGATCAGATGGACATAAAGCAAAACTAGATGCACAAAAACTGACTTTAAAGAGTTCAGGGAAAATGTTAAAATTCCTAGATGACCTCCAGTATCCCCCTTCTTTAAAAAATGGGGCACGATAGGTATTTATTATGGGAGAAAACAGGTACCAACAGGCAGCAGGACAGGGGGCACTGTGATACGTGTGGGAGGCAGAGCCTGGGAGTAAGGAGCCATCTTCTGGATCAGGAGATCACATGGACACTAGGCCACAGGAAACCATAGAAAACAAATATCCACCACAGGTAGAACACATTTGCTTAATAAGGAGTGAAGGGATTACAAAGTCAAAGTTAAACAACTTTGACCAGCTGGAAAGTTAAACTTCTGAATAAAAACAATGGAAACACCAGACTAGACAGTGTCTGTCCACCACCACAGGCCCAAGACCTACCACCTGTGTGTGAGCCACCAGGTATGTGGGCACACATGCACTTTCAAGGGGGATGTATGGGGGACGCCAATATACCGAGTGCTTAAGCTCACCAGGAAACATACACCAAGATGTGTGGGCATTAAAAACAGAGCCAGGATGTCATATAGGTAAGGTTGCCTCCAAGATTTCTTACCACCCAAAAAAAGAAGGCAGAGGAAGATGTTAAATCGAAAATTAAAATGTTAGGCATAATTCTCATTTCTAAAAAGGTGTAAGTACAATTGTGAAAGTTAGGTTTTAAAATGCATATGTACCTGGCATGTCTAGGAATTCCAATAGTGCCAACTCTTGTTTTTTTTTTTTTAATATATTTTATTGATTTTTTACAGAGAGGAAGGGAGAGAGATAGAGAGCTAGAAACATCGATGAGAGAGAAACATCGATCAGCTGCCTCCTGCACATCTCCTACTGGGGATGTGCCCGCAACCCAGGTACATGCCCTTGACCGGAATCGAACCTGGGACCTTTCAGTCCACAGGCTGACGCTCTATCCACTGAGCCAAACCGGTTTCGGCGCCAACTCTTGTTTTAATAACAAATATTTTTGGAGTATTTTAAAACAAATTCCAGACAATTCATCCCTTTTTTTCTAAAAGCAGTTCACCCTCGTTTTCTAAAAGCATATCAAACATTTTGAAGAAAACTTATCTTCACCAACATGATGCTTTTTATTGAATTTTACTCAAGTTTTCTTTACATTTACCATTTTAGCATCTTGTAAGGTTGCAATGAACTCTTGAAACAGTAGGCAATACATGACAATTCAGAGCCTAACTCTACATCTGTTCTATTTATAATAACCATC